AAAATGCGGAAAACCGAGAACACGGAGAACGAAATAAAGGAATTTTTTGTAGTTTCACCGTACACTTTTTGAAGATTTTTTATTATGGGGTTTCGACACAAACCGCACAGTAATCGCTCCACTGACATCTATTCTGAGCCATATCTCCCAGCGTCTATAGCCATCGGCAATCCTTATTTCTTAGGCCTCAGTCTAAAAGACGATCGGCACCAAACGAAGCCAATCCTAAAGCCAGCTTCTTCATGCCTCTACGCCACGTCATGGTCTGACCGCCGCGATGCTTCTTCCAACCTTGCCCTGCAAGTGCAAAGGGAGCACGGCGAGGTAGTCGATGGACAGGCATACGCAAAACATGACCGATCCATCAGAGGCGATGTAGAACGATTTCTTCTGTTAGAGAACGGCTATCAGTACCCAGCACAAGAAGACGAATTTCATGATTGCTCACCAGACACGAGCAATGCTTCGAAGGCATCGGTGGAAAGTCGATTAACATTCTCCGCTCGGAGAGGCCAGGTCCCGCAACCGTAAAGCAGAACGCTACGGACCGCGGCGATGTACACCCTTCCCTTAAGGGACAGTCAGATATCACGGCGGCGCCACAGGTGGGGCAGGTTGGCGAAAGCTGCTGTAGCTTTCGTTATTCGTGATGTGATCTCTTCCCCAACCTCACCTCCAGCTATGATTAAGCTCCCGAGGTACTTAAAGCTCACGACCATTTCCATCTGATTGCCATAAATAGTAAACGCAGGCACAGGCTCCTGCCAGTCTTGAACAAGCATTTTGTACTTTGATGGTGCAAAGCACATACCCCACCTGGATACCTCTACAGCCAAGTGATGTAAAGCTTTTTGAACTGCCTGTGCATTGTCACCCAACAAGGCGATGTCATCGGCATATTCTAAGTCAAGAACTCTGTTCCGTGGGAGGAGTTCGACTCTACCGTTTGTTAAACCGGATAAAGCGTCCTGCAGAATATCCTCTATGGCGAAGTTGAAAAAGAAAAGGCATATAGGGTAGCCTTGTCGAATTCGACTGGAGACGGCGAAGGGTGGTGAAAGCTGGCCACAGACCCTAACCCAACCTGAGGTATGACGATACAACTCTTTGAGGATCGACACATACTTCTCAGGTACTCCATTTCTCAACAAACAGCTCCATAGTCCTATCGACAGAATAGAAGGCCGCGCGGAGGTCTAAGAACACAATGATCGTTGATTTATGGTAAGCACGACGGTGCTCTAGCAGCTGTCGGAGGATGAAGATTTGATCGATGCAGTCACGACCGCCATGAAACCCAGCCTACACCTCGCGGGCATGTGCCTCACGCATTTTGTACAATCTACGAAGGGTGACGGACGCTAACAGCTTTGACGTTATTGGGATCAGGCTTATATCCCTATGGTTGACGCAATCATTGCGCGGGCCCTTTTCAAGGATGAGGACGACAATCGACTCCCTCCATTAGGGGACCTGCTCAGTGTTCCAAACTTTAGAGAACAGAACTTGTAGTTCTCTAACAAGCTTTATTCCACCATATTCAAATAGAGCTGGGGGAAGGCCATCACAGCCCGTGCCGTGACGTCCCAAAGTTTGGATTTCCTTAAGGATTTTGGCCTCAGAAGGTGGGTCTGTTGATACAGACCATGGGACGTGTGCCGGAGTACCTGTGTGAGAATCTGATGCTGGTGGTCAACTAAACGGTGCTTTGAAGTTCTCCGTCCGGCATTCAAGACGTCGCTGTTGATGGTGAATAAGCGAGCCGTCAGCTTCATAGATCATAACCAAAGTTTTTCTACCGGTGACCAGGATGAGATGGAACAGCTTACGGGAATTTTCCCTGGCGGGAGCACGTTCTATCTCCGATGAGCGTTGAGGCCACCAGATCTCGTGATCTCTACGTAGGCTTACGTTAAGTTCACGTCTCATTACAAGCCGTGTTACGTTATGCTCGCTGCCGGTCGGAAGTGACAGACGTGCGTCAAGAAAGCGCAGAGACTCAGCGGAAATCCAGGGTGTTACGACACGGCGTGTCAGACCACAACTAACTAAGCCAGCAGAATGCACAGCATTCTTGATTAGCGACCAGTGCTCACTGGTAGGGGTAGGTTCTAGCTTTTCAGCTAGTACGTTTTGAAAGACGGCTAAGCATGCCGGTTGAGACAACTTAACGCAGTCTAACCGCCGCTGTGTCGTACGTTTAGGACGCCCACCGAAGCACATGGACAGCTTGGTACAAACTAACGCGTGATCGGATTCGAGGGGACTGCTCCAGTACCATCGGAAGTCTTGTATGCAACCCCGCCATTTGTGGCTCATAGCGATGTGGTTTATCTGCGTTTGTCACTGGTTCGAGGAGGGTGGACGCCAAGTGGCGTATCGACAGTTGGAGCGCCTGAAGTTCGTACTGGCGAGGAATAGGCAGTGGTCAAAACATAGAGCCAACAGCCGCTACCTGTTTTCCGAGCGACAGGAATCTAGTCTTTCGGAGCGACGGCCATTTACTTTGCACGAGCCTCTAAGTTTCACTGCACATAACCTACTGTCGACTGGGATCCAATCCAGGAGCGCGGCTTCAGCTCTCTCATTGACAGCCACGCCAAAGACAGCAAAACCAGAAGCTGCAGTCACAGGGTCACTAGAAAGACGCAGGCGGATGGGTTTGACGGGGACATCAATCAGATGACGGAGCTAGTCTTGAATGTGAGTCTCTTGGATACAACACATCGATGGCTAGGGTCTTGACGGTACGAGCTAAACACGCCTGTTGTCCTATACGCATCAAGGTACATGCGTTGAACGTGGCTAGTTTGAATGGGCATCGAGAACGAAGAAGAGTTTCAACTGGTGAAGAAAGATTCGGTGAGACTTGGACGCTATTCGAGAGAGAACGCGAGGGAAAAGGGAAGGAATTTCAATCGGAGGCACAACTGGTGGTACGATTGTCTGAAGATCTTGATGATAATGGGAATGTTTGTGGGGGGTGAATGTGAGGTGGAGGAAAAGTTGAAGAATAGGAAGATGTGCAAGGTCTAAAGCGTTTTTTTCATGAGCGATGAGAACTGAAAGAACGAGTTATTGATTAAGCTAAAGTTCATTGTTTGCATTGTGGGCTGTTGTACTACTCGGTCACCCAGTCCAGGGTATGCCTTGTTCGAGGATGCACTCTAGCCTTTACGCAACCAAGCGCGAGCTACAAGGCAGCAGTATTGTTCCAGATAAGCCGGTAACCGGTCGGTTGGTTCATTCGTCTTCTCTGGAAGACCTTGTCGGGTAGATGGAATTCGAAAAGGAGGCAGTGGCTGTATTCAGTAGCGGACCACACTGTCCAACTCACAGCGCTGTCATACGATACATGTGGCGTTTTGTGTGGAGAACCCTTGTCAAGTGGCAAGCCCACCTCATCCTCCAGCACTGCCGCTGATCGTCCGCGACCGCTTAATTATGAAAACGGCCCTATCCTCGTGCGAGGAAAGTGGTACCGATTTAATCCCAAGCGGCAGGTTGTCTGGTCTAGAGTATGCAGACTACATTGTGAAGAGGCAGGTAGGTTTTAAGATTTTTTGGACAGCTTGAGTGCCAGTGTAGTTATGTTCGGTATGCGTTTTGCACCTTTAAAGTGCAAAGTGTTGCTATAAGACTGGGTCGGTCAAGCATCGAGCCACTCTAACTGGAGAATAGAGCAGGCGGATAAGTTGTTATTTGGATAGCTACATCTCGCACGGTGGACGCATCGTAGATGAAGTGTCTGCTCGCATACGGAAGGCTCGGTTGGCATTTGCCAACTTGAGACATTTGTGGCGCCGTCGCTGCATCCGGCTCTGTGATGGGTCGAGTGTATGCCGCGACAGTTCGGCTAGTTCTGCTATACGGTGCAGGAACTTGGCCATTAAGAAAACAGGACAAAGATAGACCGTCGGTGTGTGAACACCACTGCCTACGCAGCATTGCACGAATCTGGTGGGGCAGCCAGACGAACAACGCTGAGGTTAGGCGCAGAGTTTTGGGTATCCGCGGTCGCCCAGTGGAACAAGTGGTCGACCTCCATAGATTACGTTGTTTGTGACATGTGTTACACATG